TGTGTGTGTGTGTGTGTGTGTGTGTATATATGCATATATTGTAATTTAATAATTTGAGAATTTCAAAATTTGTATGATCCTTTAGATTTCCATCTTAAGGTTTTGTTTCACATTATTTTTTTTCCATTTAAGATAATATTTAATGTATTAATTTACAAATATTTGTTTCACAATACGTTTGTTTTATATGTATTCGGTTCACAATGTAAAAGTTTTTTACACGTGTTGGAATATTTTATCCACCTAGGGTTCGATTCCAAGCATACATAACAATTGTGGCCACTAAGTTCATCGTGGCTGATTTCTTGCAGTCGCCATTTGCTGGGATTAGTCCAAACATAACCTATGACACCCTGCAAAAAAAAAAGTTCACATTGTGAACCGAGTATATGTAAAACAAACACATGGTAAAACAGATATATATTAATAACTACATTACATCCTAGCCATATATGAAAAAAGATCATATAAAATAACACGTGATGCACTAGAAAGCTCTCATGATTTAGAGAGTTCTCAAATGAATGTCCCTTATATATAAACATATAAAAAATGTTTCCAAGATAAATACAAACAACTGTATGAGAATAAAAGTTAAAGTAAAAAGTGTAAAAAAGATTTAAATTCTTGATCATTTTTAATTTCAAATCAATCAATAAATTATGCTTTAGAAGTGAATTGATCTGATACTTCTCATTATTGTTGATCTTCAATTAGAATTAATTCAAGATTGAAGATCCTAAGAAAGGTTTTCTATAACCTTGTTCTCACCGAAACCCCACTCTTCACCATAAATCACAATGGTGGTGCCTGATTGGTTTGAGCTTGACTGCAAAGGTCAAAAGTACCAGGAGGTCTCATGTTCAAATCCAAGGAGGAATAAAAATCTCTTTGTGGCTACGGAGGTTCAAATGCGATGACTTCGAACTATCTGTAAAGCGGTAGTCATACTGAGATTAGTCGACACACATAACAGGTTGGATATCTAAGTTAATAAAAAAAAAGTTATATAAAGAAAAACTATATTCTAATAATTGCTAAATAATATGAACCGCTTTATAATTTATTTATATTTTATGTCAGCCGACGTAGAAATAAGTCCCGAGAGACACGAAAGATCCCCTGGATGACAGCCCCATCAACATTTGCGTGGCTGTAAAATCGGGTAACCAGGTGATCACGCCGTCAAATCAACAACCCCACGTCCTACTCATCACACTAAGCACACGATTTTCCAGTAATTTCTCCCACCTTCCATTATACCCTTTTCATCATCATACACAAATCGTCTGCAGTTTATTGATCATCTTCGCCGGAGGAATACGATGATTTCCGGGGATGATTTGGAACGCCATGGAAGACCCAAGAGCAGTAACAGAACAGAAAACTATTCTTCATCGTCATATGCGCATACAGAAACCTATTGGACTTCATGGTTGATCCCTGTGTTCGTGATCGCTAATATTGCTGTTTTTGTTGTGCTCATGTACATCAACAATTGCCCCAAACACAATCATTCGCGTATCTATGGCAAGTGCGTGGCGAGGTTTCTTGGTAGATTCTCGTTTCAGCCCCTTAGGGAAAACCCTCTCTTTGGCGCTTCGTCGAACACGTATTGGCTCACTTATCCTTTTTCTATTTTTGCTGAATCTTCATTGAAATTTGGATTCTTTAGGTTTGCGAATTGTTATTACTGATGGGTATGTTCGTGATCAGAAAATTCTATCTGTTCTTTGGTGCTAAAAAAGTAGAATTGAGATTGAATTTGTGAAAGAAATATCCCCTTTTGATGACTTCTGGTGTCCAATTGGTACTTTTCGATTTCAAAATTGGTTTGAACCCTAAATGTTCTATGCCATATAAAGATGATATGGATGTTAAATTTTATGACAATCGATACAGACTTTGCATTGAGAAGTACCAATCTTGACATAAAGATTCACGACTTTTTTAATTATAATTAAGGATGATCAAGATGTCTTCATAGGTATCTTTGATGCATCCTTCCTGTTTATTCTGCCAGCACTTGGTCCCTTATGTCATGAATTTCATTTGGGTCTTTTCGTGACTATGAGAAATTGAGAATGATGGATAGATGCAAACTAACACTTGCTACAAGTAAGGTGTCACTTAGCAGACTGTTCTGCAAGTGAAAATTTGAATTCTTTTGTGTAAAATTTATGACCAAATTGAGTTTTTTTTGTTTGTTTTGTGAAGACTAGAGAAGCTGGGAGCTCTTCAATGGTGGAAAATAGTTCATGGGCATCAAGGATGGAGGCTTGTCACTGCTAACTGGTTGCATGCTGGTTTGATTCATCTAGTTGCTAATATGCTCAGCCTTGTTCTTATCGGCATTCGTCTTGAACAGCAGTTTGGATTTTGTATGTTCACTTTTTATTTTCATTCTTATTCCTTTTCTTTTTCCCCAAATGTTTTATGATGATAATGCTGTTGAATTTGACAGTATGCATTGGAGTAATCTATCTGTTGTCTGGATTTGGAGGAAGCATTCTTTCTTCATTATTCATTCAAAGAAACATCTCAGTTGGTGCCTCTGGGGCTCTATTTGGATTACTAGGGACGATGCTATCGGAACTCATCACGAACTGGACTATCTACACCAACAAGGTTTTCATCAGTCTCCTTAAAACTTGAGTTCTTGGTCATTTGCATTCACTTTTGATGGCAAAAATGTTATCTTTTTTGCAGGCAGCAGCGTTGTTAACACTTATCGTCATGGTGGTTGTGAACTTAGCTGTGGGAATTCTGCCATTTGTCGACAATTTCGCACACATTGGTGGATTCTTGACGGGTTTTCTCCTAGGTTTCGTTTTACTTCCACGTCCTCAGTTTGGATGGTTTGAACGACATAATCTTCCAGCAGATGTTCGTGTGAAATCCAAATACAAAGCATACCAGTATGTGCTTGGCCTGCTTGCATTATGTCTCCTTGTTGCAGGGTAATTAAGCCGTAACCAACTAACCACCACCCGTTCTGAAATGTAACGCCATCTTTGCAAACTAATGTAAGTTTTATCGTGCAGATTTACTGTGGGTTTGGTGATGCTGTTTAGGGGAGAGCAGGGATACAAGCATTGCGATTGGTGTCACTACTTGAACTGTGTCCCAACGTCGAAATGGGAGTGCAATAATAGCTAGTAATGGTCTCATCTGTTCATCTGTGTAGGCCGATATTTGCATAGTTTTGGTTTAGAAATTGGTTGGTTTTTGTGTGTGTTGTGTTTGTATGTTGGTGTTATCGAAGTAGATATTTATTATTCATTGTTTACGAATTATGATGCTGATGAAGGAAGATTATTATGGAATACAAACATGTATATGATGAGGATGTCTTGTTTTCATGGAAGAACGCCTAAAGATTCCAATAAATACAGAGATAGCAGCAATAACCAATGGTTTCAAGTCAATAAGATCAATGGTAAACTTGGAAGCCGGTTTTCGCTGCGAGGGATCACCATAATACGCTCTACTCTCCCATAGGTTGTCAAAATCTCACCGCCTCTGCAGCTGCGTGGGATGCCACTACTGTTGCCTTGTGCTGGCGTTGGAAAATTCGGATGCTTATCCAGACACTCGGGGCCGTTTATCATGTGCTTATCGGCAAAAATCATAACTCTTATTGGTCTTATCGCATAACATTCTTGACCATCAAAATGGTTGTTGGTATGTGTTGTTGACCCGAGTAAGAGTAAAGTCTTTCCCTCACTTACAATCTTTGTCCTTGTTATGCTTTTTACCAGGTGAGTTTCTTGTTTCTTACCATGCTCAGCCAGTAAGGTAAGTGACGACATATGAAAAACGACCCTAAAACACACTTTTGGGTAACAAAATGGGTTAAGACCTAAGTAAATGAATTATGGATTGAAGCATTGAGCGGGCTTGATATATATTTATAGTTAATGGGTCAAAAGTCAAAGTAGGAGCTTTGGGCTTGGGGATCTTCTTGAGCCCAAAATCCTTTTTCAGTTTTAATTAATTATCTGTAATTTAATTTCGGAAATCATATTTATAGTGTTAGTTAAATATGAAATAATTAATTATTCTTAGTTTAATTTTGGATTTGTGTCAACGGCCAAAACAATTATATACGAAGGGAGAGGTCTAAATTATAAATACTTTGGGGTAACAATTTTTTACCAAATCATACTAGTTAACATGTGTGTCAGCTGTACCAATTAAATTGATATCAATTACAATCGGTTAATTGTACTGTACCATATATGCAAACTCTGTCGATACATGGTTTTGAAAGTCATGTAACATGATAGTACCAACTTATTTAATTATTTATTAGTATTTTACGTATTAAACATTGTAACTTTAACTATTTTGTTTGAACATTAGAATGCTTGCAAATTTTATTCCTTGCAATTAAAAACCTCTAGATATCACATATGTTATCTGGGAACTTAAATTTGAACAAAATGACAAGTTTTCATGTGTGTGTGTGTGTGTGTGTATATATATATATATATATATATAATTGAAGTTGGTACAAAACCAATATCAACATGTGTCAACTAAAAGATTTGGTACAAAGTATAGTTGGTTGGTACACGAAAATGGATTTTGCATACAAATTATAATTGATTGATACATTATATTGGGGAAAGAAGGAGGAAGGAGATATTGAGAACTTGTAATTTATATTATGTATTTGTTATTTTAATACAACCGGGGTCCAGAAGAAGGAGGAAGGAGCGGTCCTTATGCAACAACTTTCTTAATATTTGAACTGGTCCGTGGACCTAGGAAATTACACGACATGGGTGCTCTAAGGACAGTGCAATTGCAGACCTAAATCTAACTAATATTTCACATCAAAGGATCTAAGATTAACAAGTTAGTCGTAGTATTTGTTAATCAAAGTTATCGTGACTAGGTTACATTGGTTATTTACACAGTAGATAAAAATTTTACGAAATTATATGAATATACATATATAACTCTGGATGTTAATATAAGTTATAACATATTCAACCATGATAGTCATAGCCGCAACGAATGATGGACTCATGGTGCGAGCTTCTGTGACTCGGTCACATTCGCATTTATAGATGTTCCATGTTTTGTGTTGTATATTAATTGATGGACTTTTAGCCTTGAAAAAGAGACCAAACGCAACAATCATCTATTAAAAACATAATATATACTTAATGGAATTTGTGAGTGATAAATGTTGTGATTAGTAAATTAAATCATTACTTGAATATAAATTGAGAATTGGGTTTTAGCTCTAATCAAAACTATATTTATATCTTAAATTTTAATATTTTCTTCAAAATAAGAAATAAATTTTAAATTAATTATTTATCAAACAGAGTGACGAGGAGGAGGGAGGGGTTGAAAAATTCAAACTTGGATTCTACAAGTTTAGTCATACAAAAGAAAAATTATATATATATAGGGGCTGGTTCAAATGCTAACCAAGATTATCGTGTTAACTTTGTTAACCGATCTTGACCGTTGTGATTTAATGATATTTAAAAATTAATTATTAAATTAATATTTTCAATTTAACATATGTGAACAAAATATCAAAAGATATTTTGGTAAAAAGTAATATATCTTTGATGCACGAGTTGTCAGACATATGAACAACTTGTGTATATCTTCAAACCACATCAAACAAAAAAGATTAGACATATGAACAACATGTGAACCGTATGAACATCTTCTGTATATTCAGGAGCCAACTCTGTTGTATGTACATCAGTACATGAACACCTATGAACCAATGCATCTAGGGCTATGTGTTTTCATACGTGTTCACATGTTTTCACATGTTTTGTGTGTGTGTGTATGTATGTATTCATATGAGCATCTAGTGACTTGAATAGACATGAACATTTATGAATCACGACATCTAAGGCTGTGTGATTTCTGATGTGTTCATATGTCAAATGTGAGAAATGTCGATTAAAATAAATGTGAATTATAAAACATGAACACATGTGAAACCCCAATGTCAATATTGCATCATGATCAATTGTGATATTTTCAAATTTGTAACTTCCAATTAATTATTTAGGAGTTACAAAAAATGACAAATTACTTAAATACCCTTGTATTTAATATATGAGTTACATTTGAAACAAAAGAAAAGATGGAATATAATTGGTTGAGCTTGGTTAACATAGTTAAAAAAAATTGGTTAGTATTTGAACCAAGCTCTCTCTCTCTCTCTCTCTCTCTCTCTATATATATATATATATATATATATAAGAGGCTAATCAAATGAGAACTAATTAGTTTGTGGTAACCGTGAGGTGCAATCTTAACCACAAATCAATAGATAAATTAAAAAAATTATAATTTTGGTAATTTTGAATTAAAATTTTAATACAAATACATTTTGGGTATTTTAAAACTCTCCTTTCTTCTCACTCCGTCCACTGTCCTCCGGCCTCCGGCCACCGTCCTCCGGTGACACCACAGTGGTATTACAATACATCTTATATGTGCTTGGGTATCACACTGAGATCGTTTGTGTGGTCGACCAGAGATGTAATACAGTGGTATCAAAATGCATCTTATATGTGCTTGAGTATCACACTGTGTCTTTTGTTTAGCAGAGTCAATAATTTTAGGTATCACAGTGATATCACCGGAGGACTGCGGAGAAGGACGGAAGACGGAGAGAGAAAACAGGAGAGAGGAGAAAAAATACCTAAAATGTCCTTGTATTAAATTTTTAATTTAAAATTACCAAAATTATAAATTTTCTAATTTATCTATTGCTTTGTGGTTGAAATTGGATTTCACGGGTACCACAAACTAGTCAGTTTTCCCTTGAATGATCCCCTATATATACATATATTATGAAATTATACAAAAACAAACTAGAAAGAGAGAACATACTTTTCCATTTAACGCTCTTCCTAAGTTGGAGCGTAAATATCATGAAATGTTAAACTCGTTAAGTGAGCTAAGGATTCGTAAAATATTTTTTTTGGGATAACTTTCGTAAGAATAAACTTTTTTCTAGAATAGACTTCCAACTTCCAAGTATCGTAAAATATTGAACACAACTCATAAGTCTTATTGGGATTAATATGCATAATCTGACTTATTAAGCTCGTTGCATAACCTTTGGTATCTTGCTTTATCCATAGGCACTCGATCCAATTTCTTTACTAATTGATAGTATTGTATTTGTTGACGGTCATGCATACCTCTTTACTTCAACAAGTCAAGAATGTATTGCTTTGACTCAACTGTTCCAAGAGCAATTTCGTTTCCCAAGAAATTAACAGTTCAACCTTTGAATCCCCTTAGTGTCATCCCTTGTTAGGCCCATTTCGTCAACGTAAATAGTTAGAACAATCATTTTATCATACCTACATTTGAAAAGCAACTTACGATCTGAATTCTTTTATCGATGCCCAATCTCCCGTTGAACTAGTGAACCTGGCAAACCAAGCTCTACGAACCCGTTTCAAACCATTGATATTCTTTTAGTTTGCACAACGCTTGCTTTCTAGTACAAGTACAATATACACAAGGCAAATCCATATAAGCCTCTTCATGCATATCACCATGTAAGAATGCATTCTTAACATCAAACTTTTGTAATGTACAATAAAGGTTAGCATCTAATAAAAGAAGTACTCTGATAATATTAAATTTGACTAGTCAAGCAGATGTCTTGAAATAAAAATTCTCATCCTAATAAGTCGTGTTCACAACATTGTCCATAATGTCCATTGTGTGCTCCTAGTCAAATATGGGTATAAAATATGTATGTATGTATGTATGCATGTATGTATGTAATGTTTGTGCCTACATACACATATTATAATTTAAACCTATATTTGAAATAAATTTATTTTTTTATATTTTAAAGATTATTTTACGACAACGAAGTTGGATTTATGGGACGCCTTCAATTTCTAAGCGTCTTAATAGACTGTTTATTAAGACTTAATATATATGACCAAAAAACAAAGCGTTATTTCTAAAAACGTTGTAATAAGTTTATAGGACGCTTTTGGACGTTTTAACAATTTTTTAGGACACTTTTAATACAAATGTAACATTAGTAATTTTATAGGATACTTATATAAACCCGTCTTTTTATAAGACACTGGTTTTTATAAGACGTTTTTTCAAATAGCGTCATATAAAATTGCTAAGGTGATACTTTGTATTAAAAGTGTCCTAAAAACTTGTTAAACGTTCTATAAACTTATTACAACGCGATGCTTTATTTTTTAATCCTATAAATTAAACCTTATAAATCGGTCTATTAAGACATACTTTTTAGTGTCCTATAAACTTGATTTTCTTGTAATATTTAAAAGAATACCACCCAAATCATTTGATACAAGCCCAAATATTTAGATCATATCATAACATTCATTTATACAAGAACAATTTATGGATATAATTAACAAAGTAAATGGAACTTATGGAAACACATACATACTCATTCCTTTTAGCTCTATATACAATCCATTCATATACTATACGTTATAGTCGAGTTTCAATCTTAAAAGTCCAGGGGCTTTAAGGTGCTAAATCCTTATCGTTGAAGGTACTATTTGAATTTGAGCTTATTTTGTTATATGTCTCCCACCTTCCATAGTGTTCAAGGAGACTTTTGGTGTTAAGTGTGTGTATTAGCTCCAACGTGTGTGCGCGTTCAAAATAGAAGGTTTGAGAGAAAAAATCAAATCGATGAAGGTTGAGTTAGAAGTTTTCTTGCATAATTAAGCTTAATTGGTTTGGTTAGTAAGGTATGTACCATATTTTTATTCAATCCATAATCTTTGGTTAGTCTGGTATTGGGTTAAGTTATGAGGTAGTTATGATTTTTGGTTTGACTCGATTCTTGAGGTTAAGCCTATGTTTCCCTTGTCCAGTCTATTAACATGAAAAATGAAGTTATCGTTTTTTAAGTTTGGATTCAAAGTACTCTCTATTCGTTTGAGTTAGGTAAAATTTTTTGATTAATCCTCAGTTGTTATGAAGACTAAAATTCATTGGATTAGTATTTGTTTTTGGTCAAGAAGATGTTATGTAAGTTTTATCTATGAAATTGAAGTTATCTGAGGGTTTGGGTATGAACCCAAATAGATTTTTGGTGCAGGCCAAAAGTAAGGGCAAACCAGCGGAGTCTAGAGACTTTTGTGACTTTGCTTGCGACTTAAATCTCTATGGTTTGGGTGTTTGTATTCATGTCATTTTAGGATCAAGCAATGGTGTATTGTTTGTGTTGTGATGATTTTTGAAGTGTTCTAAGGTTGGCAAGGTTTTGGGTAAAACAAGTCTGTGTAGGTCAAACCTGGAAGATCCAATGACTTGTGCGACCTTCGCCGCGACCAAACAAGTCTCATAAGTCACTGTGGTGTGGCTTATTGAGTTTTGACTCGTGTCATTCTGGGGTTTTTCGTGGTACTGTTTATCTACCTTAGAGATTATGTAGAGATATATAAGATTGAGTCTATCTCTTTTGATTGTGATTTGTGTTTTCTTTATTCAACTTCAAGTGTTCAATATTGAAATTCGTTATCGAATAAGAATTTAGAGTATCATCGTGATCAAGGTGAGTTTACTTATAAATTTTTTCAAACTGAAATGTATATGCTATCAAATGATTACTACTTGATATTATACCTTTGTATGAGAATGGTTTTTAGCAAATTTTATAGATCTCTAACAATGTATAGTTTTGCAGAATGAGACACAATCTGTATCATCAATGTGGTTAGTTATATGTAAATTATGTGTCATTTGTTATGTGGATTTACAGTTTGTTACACTATATACGCACCACATTTATATATTAATTATATACAATCCATTCATATACACTACATGTAATCTATATAATGTACATAGAACTATATTAAGACCCATTATAACTCAAACCGATTAAAACTCATTAGAACCATTAATATTTATCAGAACCCGTCAATTCTAGCTATTAGAATCGATAATGACCAGTTAGCTCATTAGAGACTAATAAAACCAATAAATTGTCATAAGAGAATATAACCATTATCACAAAGACCCATTTTAAATTTATAAGATCCAATTAATTAGAACCAATTACAACAGAAATTTTATATTTTTATTTAATTAATGTTTTTATATTTGGTCGATAATCAAATAGATGAGAACCCAAAAATGACCGAAGGTTTTTTTAAATGGAAAATAAGTATAAAAATGGGAACTGAGAATATAACATGTGGCCTGAAAGAAGTAAGTCTACTACCGTGTACCTGGCACATAGTTTCTTTAACATTTGTCCTTGTCTTGCCATTCAAATGGATAAAGATCACATAAAACGAAGAGGAACATGCATACATGTTAATAAACCACAAATACTTCATTTATTTAACTTCAAAATACAGAAAATAAAATGCAATCAAACTACAAACCCTAATTCAAGTTGTACAGAGGTAATTAGAGGACAGGAAAGCCCTTATGAATCAAGCATAACAAATGGTACTCTCATTTATGTTTGAATATCAGCTTCAAAGGGTTTTCCCTTTTCAAAGCGATCCCAAACTTGTCATTCATGTCGATCTTCAAAGGATCACCACCATCTGGAAGAACCCAATCAAACTCATGAATCAAAGAGGCCAAAACAAGCTCGACACTCATCATACCCGATGGTAATCCAGGACACATCCTTCTACCTGAACCAAATGGTAACAGCTCAAAGTCTTGGCCTTTATAATCGATTTTCGAGCCAATGAATCTTTCGGGTTTGAAGGATAAAGGGTCATCCCAAACATTAGGGTCTCGACCCATCGCCCAGAGGTTCACAAGTACTTTGGCGTCTTTAGGGATTGTGTAATTCATAACCTCACAAGTTTCAGCAGCCCTATGTGGAAGTAGAAGAGGCACTGGTGGGTGTAATCTCATAGCTTCTTTAATAGTAGCTTGCAGATAAGTTAGTTTAGATAGTTGTGAATGAGTGATTCTATCCGACTTGATTTCCCTTTCCATCTCTTCTACTATTTTCGACACGACTTCTTTGTGTTTCACTAGCTCGGTCATAGCCCACACAACCGAAGAGGTTGTCGTATTTGTTCCTGCCACGAATAGTTCCTGGAAAAGCAAAAACATTGGTTTCAGTAAACATCAATATATATGATCGTCATTCCATGCAATTGATTTCTATTTGCAAGAACTTACTGTAATCAATTGATCGATTTGATCGTTTGAGAATCCATTTTCAAGCAAGCGATCCAAGAAACATTCTGCCTGCTCCGATGACCATGTTGAAGAATTGACAAGAGCTCTTCTTTCCTCTACTATATGCTTCCAATAAACGAATGTCTTCTTATATAGTCTCATGGTTCCCTTTCTTATTCCTTGAAGATCAAATCTGTCGAGCACAGGGAAGAATGCACCAATATCTTTTACACGACCACCGTACTCGATTATTTTATGTATCGACTCTTTCAACCCATCAAGAGCCCCATGTTCATCTTTCAAATCAAGAAGATCTTGGCCAAATATTATGGAAGTCAAAGTGTTGAACAACGTAGTAAACACTACGTCCTCAGTGTTAATCGTCTGTCCTTCCTTTTGTTGCAAGAAATCTAACAGCTTACCTATCTTTTCTTCTCGTAATCTAGACTGGGATCCTAAGGCTTTCGCCGAGAACATTTCAGTTCGACACAGGGTTCTTAGGGTTTTCCATGTTTGGTTACAGTCGGACCAGATAAGAGAGTGGGGTATCAGGGATTCCTGCTGAAATGCATTTGGCACAACACGAGAGGAAAGAAGACGATCTTGAGTCTTGAGAATGGCCATGGCAACCTCTGGGGTAGAGGCAACCACAAGACATTGTTGGCCTAACTGGAGAGATATAAGAGGGCCATATTGTTTGGCGAGATCGGCAGTAACAACATGAGGTTTATCCCCTGCTTGATGCAGGTTTCCGATGATGGGCAACTTTGGTGGACCTGGTGGAAGATTTTTTACGTTACTTGAAGATAAAAGTTTGGTTTGTTTGACGATGAATATGAGAAAGACGACGGTTGATAGAACGAAAAGAGGGAAGGGGAGATCAAGAAAGCTTGTGATATAATCCATCATCATTAGAGGAAGTTTTATGGTTAAGTATATGAGTTTGTGAATGAGTTTGAAGATGGATATATGGGCTGTATTTATAGGGTTGATTGGTGCTTCTTCTCTCTCTCTCTCTCTCTCTCTATATATATATATATATAGAGGTTGGTTATTATACAATCCTTGACATTTGTGCAACCAATACAACCCAATCTCAACCGTCTATTTCATTTGATGAATACGTGATTTCATATAAGTTTTGATTGTTTCCTAATATAAAGTATTAATCATAATTAATGAACCCTATTCATATTCCATAAATATTCAAATCATAATAAATGAACTCCCATCATTTCTATAAATATCTCAATTAATTGGGTTGTAAGAGTTGTACAAATACACAAGGTTGTAAAAGAAATATACCCTATATATATATGATTAACCTGGATATCCAACCCGCTATACGAGCCGACTAATTCCAGAACGACCACCTGCTTTGCAGATAGTTCGGAGTCACCGTATTTGAACCTCCGTGGCTACGAGTGGATTTTTATTCCTCCTTAGATCCTGAGACTTCCTGATACTTCTGATTTTTGTAGTCAAGCTCAAACCAGTCAGACACCACATTTGTAGTTCTATATTTTTGATTTATGAATAATAATAACGAAAATTGTTTGAAGAGATTACGGCTTATCTTCAAAGGTTTTGACCTTTGACTTGTGTTTTCTAAGTTTACATGCAATAAAAACAAGAGCAGGTTGGTTAGTTGTAGAAAGAATGATTATAATAATAATCGCCGCCGAAGGAGAAAGAATAACGTATGTTATCATGGTTTTAATTTTTTAAAATTAGATGAGAAATTGTGAAATTCAGTATAAATATATAAACACAGACAATTATTTCCAAAAATCAATAATATTTTAGTGACGGAATACTGACAGCTGAAACTACTCGTTAATTTCTCACTAATATATGTCGGTAACTATAAATTGTGGTTTAGTGACGAATCTTTGTTCATCTCTACCTCTCACTAAACCGTCTCTATTTTTTTGTGTCATTTTTCTCTGGTTGTTCGTCAGAAGTGTCTAGCACGTACTATCCATCGATGATGTTGAATTCCTAGCAGTAGACAATATGATATCATTATCGTGTTATAATTATATATAAATACGATTTAAAGTTGCAGTTAAGTTATACAAATATTTTCGTTTTAGCATAAAAGGTTATAGTTTGCGTTATGGTTTAAGTTATCTAAAATATTTAATGTTAGGACCGATATTATTTATAAAATACAGTTTATGATGGGTATGCTACGATTATTTGGGCAAAGATTATTATGCATCAAAGTTTTACGTATATTGATCCAATATTATTTTTGGTATATAAGTACGATATACATGATAGTCGAGTGATATTGTAGAGATGAAATTATGGACATCATGTCCCATGTGATTATAATGGTTCATATGGGAGGTGTCGTAGAAGCAAGACAACTGTATCATGTTTGGAAAACATGAAAATTAGTCGAGTAGCGCATTTGCCAGGTTAGAAGTTACCGTAAGAACACGACAAGGTAGGTCGTGCCAGGTGAATCACACCACTGTGCGTAGCTATCCAACAAAGGCTATGATGATATCAGGGCCAGCCCTGGCCATAGGCCCAAGGGGCGACGACCCAAGGCAGCAAACAATCCAAGGGCATCTATTTTTGTCAAGCCCAATATATATATATATATAGGTTAAATTGGGGTTGGGTCTAAAAAAAAATTAACGTTACCGCTTAATCGCAATCGTTGCCCCCTCTCTCTCTCTCTCTCTCTCTCTCTCTCATCCTCGACTTTCGGCCTCGCTCACTTGCTTGATGCAACGGCGCAACGCACGAACAGATCAACAGACGATTGACGATTCTAGAACTAGAAGTACGAACAAGTGAACAACGATTCTCGCTCTCGCAACTCTCGCCTCTCGTTCTCATTCTCTCGACTCTCGACCGCTCTCATCTCAAAATATGATGACTTGTGACTTGTGAGGTTAGGATTACTTACTTTACTTATTTTATGTTTTTAATTCTTGTTTGATTATTTCATAATCTAGATGAAGCTGCCCTGCCTACTTCGGTTTTCTTTTAAGTTTTAAAGATGTAATACTCTATGTATCATGTATGCCTACTTAGGTTTTCTGTAAACAACATTACAATGAAGTTTCCCTGCCTACTTAGGTTTTCTTTTAAATTGGTTGGTACTTGTGGATGTTTTTGGGGCTGTTTTGTTTTGCAATTTCTAAGTAAAATCCATGATATGACATGAGTCGGTTACTCACTTCTGTTTGCAGATATTGTTGTGGCCCAAATGTTTTGCAATTTCTAAGTAAAATCCATGAAATGTCTATAAGCCTCTTCTTCTTCCTTCCATATAAAAACAACCATTTCTTGTAATATTATTAAGTTGGTGGCCCAAATTCCTATTCACTATTTACGTCCTCTAAAGACTTCAAAGTGTTTGGGATTATTTTAAGAAATGAGAATAATATAAAAATGAAAATGCAGGGGAACAAAAATGTGAATAGAATTTCCATACCTTTCAATTTGCTCAAGCCCTAATATTTTACTTTTTGGGGTTGTTTAGAAGCTTTTTAGGAGCTGTTTTGAAGCGGGTTAGTAGAGGACAAAGGCTTAAGATTGATGTATAGGTAGACACTTCATATTTGTAACTATTGTCCCATTGCTTGAAAAAGGGTCTATTAGGGAAACTAACATCAAGAAGGCATCGTTTTAGATGAGTGGTGATATATTTTATATTTTGTTACACGGGGTTTTGGTTTATGTTCCCCCCGTTGCATCATTTTTGTTATATTTAAAACAAATCGGCGTGGGGATGAGCCGCCTAGATTGACTAGGTTCAAAACCCCTTCAAATAGTTTATTTAGATTTTTATATACACATGTAAGGGGTATTTTTTTGGCTTTCCGCCATGGGCATCCAAAATCTCAGAACCGGCCCTGGATGATATGTGATTAATGCATGCATATTTATGAAAACTTATATTTACGTTTTTCAAAACTTAAGTTATTATCAATATCATATAAAGTTTGCGATTTTTTCTAGATATGTTGTATCATCTACTACAATACAATTTTTAATACGTTTTCTTAAGTATCACGTTAACTTTACAAATTATCTGGAAATTACCCTCTACTACAATGGTTTTCTTTATCAATTTCTTAAGTGACATCTCATAATAAAAAACTATATTTTAATCAAATTATAACAAATTTACAATTAATATTATTTACTATAACTTTTTTTTTTATTAACTTGAATATCCAACCCGCTATGCGAACCGACTAATCCCAAAACCACTACCTGCTTTGCAGGTAGCCCGGAGTCACCGCATTTGAACCTCTATGACCACAAGAAGATTTTTGTTTATTCTTGGATTTGAACCTAGGACCTCCAGACACTTTTGACATTTGGAGCCAAGCTCAAACCAATCAGACATCATCCTTGTGGTTACTATAACTTAATATCAAATAGTTTATCAATTAAATAATTATTATAAAATACAATAAATTAATTAAATAATATATTTTGTTTTAATTTATAAATTATTTTTGATTTAACAAATAAATATTGATAATTATGCGTTAAAAATTAATTTTTTAGTATTTCGTATAGCTTTAATCTATTTACATGTATTTAGTTTATTAATAAAATTATATTAAACACACAACATTTAATAAATGTTAAAACATTAATTTAAAGACATAATCTTTATTAAATGTTAAAACATTAAAAATATATATCAATATTAATTAACGATAAAACTATTTGTATTTTTTATAACCAAAATCTCATTTAATAAACTATTCTTACATTTTTTACGAACATCTATACTATATTATAAAACATCTGGTAAAAACTCTTAAAAACTATTTTTTATGCATAAAGTACTGTTTATTAATGCATGTTGCTTAAAACTCAAGATTACAAGTAGATTGTGTGTAAGTA